ATTTAGAATCTTTCATCATACTATTAGCAACTATTTGGCGACTGCCATCGATCTCTAGCATCCACTCGCCACATTTGATCCTACATCGTCACCATGATTGTCATCCAAAATGGCACATGAGTTAATGTCACATGGTTAGTGCAAAACCTCAACAAATGCATGTGAAATAAGGCCAGCTGCCAACAAAAAGTTTTTTAGGGGTTAAGGTGCCGGAATGATCCAGAATGTTGTTCTGGGACCTTCACTTGATGACCAATTAGGCACGTTAATATATATCACTGTCAGAGGACGTAGTATTTGGTGACAGCTCAGTGATAATAACATAAAGACATTCGCTCGCTTCCACCATCAACACATCCTGTCACGTGTTCACAGTAAGTGAACTGCTTCTTATACAGCGCTTTATTCAGAGCGTACAATGCAACAATCACTGTTTCTATGCTTTGTATCTTTGTATCTACTATTCATACTCTGATGATGCATCGGAGAGCAACGTGGGGCTAATATCTTGCCCAAGATTGGCATCCAGACTAGGAGGAGCCGGGACTGAACCACCGACCTTGACCTGCGCTTCCTCCTGAGCTACAGCCACTTTATATCTGCTCACAGCCACAGATATAGTCGTGATCTGCACTTTATAGTGTAGATTTATCTATCAGCAGCAGGCGTAAACAATTCTGTTTGTTTTTAAGTGGGGGGTCATCATCAACACACAGTGGAGTTAGTTTGTTGCAGTATGTCCGCTAACCAGACGTACAGTTGTTTATTTCCTGGGCGTAGAAAGAAAACGTTGTTGATGTTGACAGATGGTGAAAGACGTCAGGAGAGATTAACAGGAAACTGAAGGACCAATCAGAAAGGGACATTTGACACTTACTGTCCTGATTCATTTTAAAGTTCTTGCATCAGATCATGATGTGCTGCTGGGGTTATGATTTTGCAAAACAAAATGAAATGTGCTCATTTTGTGCTACACAAACTTTGCACCACAAGTTTGCTGCAGGATAAACTGCTCAGTTTGCAGGATTGTGGTGACGTTTACACCAATGTGCACGACAGTAGCATCAATTTATATTTAAGGTTGATTCTGATTAGATTCACTCACTGAATTCGACCTTTTCTACTAACTTTGTAGTGTCTGGAAAATTAGCCACACAGCTCACGAAACATCTGCTTAGTGACTATCAGGTGATCGCAGCCTCTACATCTGATCTTCCCTTTAAGCCCCGCCCTGTTTCTATGCTGTGGATCTTAAAGCTGATACTGCACCTCTGTTAAATATCAACAGTGGCCTGTAAGGTAAAAGATATCGTCTGTGAATGTGCTTCCAATGTTTTGAATGTGTTGTAGAAAACAGGAAGTGCAACTTTTTTACACGGTCGATTTTTGACCACGTAAAACTGTCACACGGCCACGTACATGGATGATGCATGTGATGCACAGAGCTGTCAGCAGGGTATAAATGTAGTTTTCCTTTAATAGAATCACATAAATTCATAGTTGACCTGCACATTTTTAAAAAGGAGACTATGTTTCTTTGTGTTTACTGTCCACTGCAGCAACATTGTTTCAGGAAATGCACCGGGCTGATCGAGCAAAAGTGTAAAGTAAGTGACAGACTGTTGTTATAACGAATATTTTAGAAGTCGTGCATGTAGAAGATAGACGTATGTTTGGGTCAGACAAAAGATGTGTTGTTTTTGTGAGAACGATCACTGTCACTGACACAAACATGGTTTTCTGATCATATATGTTCTCGACTCTCTCATGTTTCTCCAGCTATTGATTGATGGTATTCTGGGAACACTGGTTATATTCCTGGTGCTTGAGCTGCTCATCTGCATCACTGCCATGCTGTTTGGACTCAGCGTCCTAGCTGCTGGTGGCAGCCAGGTAAGCCTTGATACCTGAAAGCGGGAGTGGGGACCTGCAGGCTTCAAGGCTTCAGATGTGTCCTCGATCCATCACAGCTGGTTTAAACGGCTAAATGACTCCTCAACATGTCCTGAAGTTCTCCAGAGGCCTGATAATGAACTCATCATTTGATTCAGGTGTTTTGACCCAGGGGGAGATCTAAACCTGCAGGACACCGGCCCCCGAGGCCTGGAGGTCCCCACCCCTGCTTTAAAACTGAACTGAACAAGAATGCACTAAAAAGTTACAGAGCTGATAAATATGCATTCATGTTAGAGCATCTGCCTTTAGTTCGAAAACTTAAACCTTAAATCTGTGAATAAATTTAGCATCATGTCATTGTTGTGGTTTGACTCTGATGAAATGAAGACTCGTGCATGCAGCAGCATCACAACTAGGGATGGGTACCGGTATCCGGTGCCATGATGGCACTGGTTCTGACATAAACGGTAGTAACCAGACCAAAAAGCAGCGCACATCTCTGTGCTTTTTCTTCCTGAGCTGTGATACACTTTAGATTCTAGCCAATCATTTTACGTTTCCGAGGATAGTAGGCGGGTCCAGGTACGTACGTTCTGTTAAAGCAGAGCTACAGATTAAAAACGCCCAAGGCGAAGCGGTCAAAGTCTGGCTGTACTTCACAGCAAAAGATGCAAACTCAGCAGCTGCAACAAGTGCTTTAA